CCATGGAGGCCATAAGCACATGATCTAACGAATAGCGCCGCACATATTTTTTGAGGTTTAAATACACAACCAATTTCGGGAGCCACACTATGGTAGATCATTGAGAATTTTCAATTGTGAATCGAATATCTCGAGAAACTCGATCATTGCAGCACAGTCCCACGACACCATGCTTTCTTGGTCCATCTTGTCTGGAACCGATCTCGTTTCTTGTCCCGATGTAGGGTGAAATCCTTGCGAGGATATGATTTCCTCATCGAGAGCCATGCCCTAAGCACGACTTGGTCAGGAACCAGAATCTGATAGAATGATCAACACACACACCTCGTTGTGGTTCACTGCTGAGGTGGTCCGGAAACGCAGATACCCTTCAATATACCGCCGCGGCTCAATTTCAATATCGAGACCATCTACCCTCATTGCTTCCCAGTTGATCAACCAACTGGCAATATCCTGTGCCATGCGTTGCAACTGGCCCGGGTATTGAGCCTCTCGTACCATGGATGCTTGGAGGAATGCTCTTTCGGCAACGAGCGTCATATCCAAACCGCTCGTGTCGAGGGCTATTCGTTCAACGAGATTGTCGTACAGCTCTCTGTAGGACATCCTTGAGAAGTCCAGCAAAAAGCTTGTATAGATCCCTGCGGCAGCATGGGAAGCCCCGACACCATCGTAGAAGAAATATGGAGGGAGAGATGGCACCAGATCAGTGAAGAGAACTGAACCAATGATCGCCTCGCGTGGCACGGTCCCCAAGATTAATAGCTCATCCGCAGCGTTGGCAAAGCGCATGGCTCTTTGACAATCTGCAGAGCAAGCACTGGGTACCGAGTACGGACCGAAATTTTCGATCACATCCACAGCGTGGAACAAATGTCGTCGTGGGTACCGCCTGCTAAGCAGAATCCGCGCATCGACGAACCATAGCACCGAGTCCGTTAGACTCTTTGTGAGTCCTACGCGCCTATGGGCCTCCCAGATGGCATAGCCAAGCGAGGCCGTGAGAGACACGAAGGGCGACGAGGTACGGCGCGTATACCCCAAGCAGTGCTCGATGGCTGTGTCATGGAGCGCAGAACGCGTGTAGGTACGACGCGTCACCCCAGCGGACGGTATGAAGCCTCGAGCTGAGTCGTACTTTGTGTAGGAGCGTGTGGGTGATTGGACGCGATAGAGCACATGTGGTATATTCCTCCGATAGAATGTGGCCCAGTCAGCCTGCCGTCGGTCAGGCATTGGGCGACAGGTGGAGGACATTACAGAGTGCTCTTAGACCATCACGAGCCACCCGCTTATCACTATACGACGCCAGGAGACATGGTGGGACATGAGGGTGGCTGGACAAAAGGCGAGTCATGGCTTGTCGGTTGTCGCGGTAATTGATACCAGCCACCCATGAACTGAATGAAGTTCTCATTCAGGAGTATTAGTGATACGGCAGGAACCATATATACAAACAGTTGTGTAAGTAATATGATGTTATGTGACTCGATATTACTTGAGTCAAAGATGGCATGAGAAGTTCATGTGTGGGAGAACCGCGACGGTGGCCGCAGTGGCACGTGAGATTGTTGTCGCATCTCTTGCGTCACCAAACAATGCTGCTGCATGCTTTCCGTTACAGAGGAAGGGCCACTGGGTTCATGACTGCTTTTGCTATGCCATGGGTAGCCTCACCTATTCGTTCAAAATCATCATACATGCTCCGTTCGCCCCCTCCAAGTTCGCCAAGGGAATTCGCAACACCTCTTGTGTTTTTGAGGTGACTTGCCCTTCAAAAGTATGCAACGCCAAGATAGCATCTTATGTGAATACCTTTAGTGCCAAAGCTTGGGACCATGACTCGTCTGCGAGGTGTGCAACTTTGCAACTCACACGCCAAACTTTTTGAGTCATACCAATATTCTTTCAATCTCGGGCAGTATGCGTTCGTACGCCGCCATGTTTTCAGAACGTGGCTATACTACTATGGAAATCGATCTTGGGCTACCCGAACCCCAAGTGAAATCATCTGAGGAACTCATGCATCATTTCGAGTTGGGTTAGTGGCACACATCACATGTCAGGCAACTTATTGAACGTGCTGAGAGCCTAAACTGGCAGAATTGGCTTCTCATATTCGCCTGGCGGCCATTCCCTTTGCCCCTGTTCTGTGAGTTGTGTTTTGAGCGTCGGGTCCATCATTCGACTCCTTGACATCGAGCCTTTCGCAGTTTTGCTCGTCGAGGAGGAGCGTTGATCGCCCAGACGTATATTTCGTCAAATCCTGCATCCGGAATGGTGCTCATATCACCTCCCGTGTCAAATGATGCTCCTGAAGCAAGAGCCTGGCTTCCCACACCTCTTCAAGAGTTTGATTATGAGCCTCGCTTCCCCTTACTCATCATTGATTCGGATGTGGAGCACCATGCAAAAGAAAACCGACTTGTCCGTGATGATGGTGTCGAGACGTTGTATATGACTGCTGCAGAACTGGGGGGAATGAGCGCTTGGATGAAGATTGAGAAATGGATGGACTCGGTCGGCATATGATACAATACTTGTCTCCCATCACACTACCTGGATTACGCTGTATCGTTGCTCTCGCTGAATTGAAGGCAATATCAGAAGGGATCTGACGAATGATACCCAGCGACGCTCAACCTCCATGGAAAACTAGAAGCCGCGAGAATGAGCGTCGGGTATCATATCCTCGAGGCTAATAAAAGTAGGAGGCGGATTGCTGGAGAAGGCTGTAGTGGTCAAATACCAGTATCACACTCGGGTACGACGCATGCCCAGGGTTCGACTTTGTGTTAGGAAGCTCAGGGTCATTTTTGTTTGGAAGAATTTAGCTTCCAGTATCTATGTAGCGTGAAAGTGTCGAATCCCTAGTTCAACTTTCACCATACCATTACGACGACCCGGCATTTGCAGTCAAGACCACCTTACGGAATAATGATAGGAAAGTCAAGATGTACAGTAACAATGTTTTTATAATACATCAATAGATTAGATACTGGCCAAAAAAATAAACCCTAAAAATCGCACATGCATTCAGCAGAGGAGGGCATCAAGATAAAAAGCCACGAGATGTAAAAAGTTATTCCCCAACAGGGAGTCGAACCCTGGCCCCAGCTGCTCGCTTAATGAAAGAGCTGTATCCTAGCCGTTAGACCATTGAGGACTTGTTGGAAGCAAAGAAAATTTGCGGATTGTGATGGTCTACCGTCTGAACGGTTCCTCCTTAAATTTGGACTATTTTTGGTCACAACCTATCACCGAAACAGCCCATATAGCTACTAAAAGGGCCAAGATCCGCTTTGCTCAAACCCAGAAGACTTCTGTGCTTCAACTAGAGGAATACCTCTTCTAAAAGCTTACTGTGGTAACCGACTCTAGTAGGCGGACATCTTAGGATGTAGTATTGAAGATTGGATAGAATATCTAATATTTATATCAGCCCCTAGAGTACCCTGGGGCCGCACTCGAGGGCTGGATACACAGAGCGGTGGTGACAATGCTGCTCAGATTGGTGGTCAGGTGTTTGCAGGTGTTGTGGACACCTCGAGTCGGTTCCGAGCAGAACATTATCTCAAACAGATTATGCATCTGCAATGGGACGAGATCTTCCCAACCGTACTTTTTGCACTGCTCTTGCGATAACGAGGATCAAATTCTCGCGTGCTAGCTCGTTTTACGAGCTTCTGAATGCTGTCAAATCAGCATCGCCACTGATCTTCCTGCCACTCCTCAGCACATCGCATCGACCGCAACACAGTCTCTGCTCTCTCTACCGTGTCCAAGCTACCTAATTTCGCGCGGTCCCGCGTCTACGTAGCAATCACGATCAATCTCCGAAATTCTCTCGCACTCCTGACTGGCTGGTTCGAGTCACTGCAATGCACAGCATCTCCGGTCCCGCTTTGTTAGAGACTGTAACGTAAGAAGTTCATCTCTTCCTTTGTTTCATTGCTAGTCGAGTCATCTATTACTTTACATGTCGAGTGACATTTCTTCGCCATATCTTCTCCTGGATCGAGTCAGGAGGTGTGCACCGCCTACATGATCATCTTAGTGGCCTCGGGACTTGCGCTTCTTGATTTTCACGCGCGCATTCAGGCATAATTCCGGAGAGGGATCAATGCATCATGGGCAGAAAACAGACGCAGCACTGAACCAAACTCCGAGTCAGCTTTCAGGACTCGCAAATACACCTCCCATTGTATTATCCACGAGACTGGGATATCAGACGTGATTCACCACATCCCTGATACCTCAACGTAATAAGGTGGCTATGTTGCTCCGGAAACTCCACAGGCCCACCGTCTCCGCACAGTTATTGTCGCCGTGGGCTTCTTTGAGGTTGATTGTTGATCTGCAACGCACACGCTGATCTGTGGATGAGGAACAGGGGCTATCTCCTCTCACCGATAGAGTTTGTGATTGAAGGGACTCTGAACCTGTGGCCGATCAACACTGAGGCGAGCGTCTACCCTTCTATTGCCAACCCGCGCGGAGGAAGCTTCTCCTCCATATCAGCCTCAGGGCGTCTCATCCTTGTTACCCCAACGAGAATCATTGGGGAAAGTTCAACTAAGAAGCACAGCTAGCCCAACGTACATGAGACGTACTGTATAACTCAACGTCAAGTATTGAACTCGCCGCTAAAAAGCGTCTATCTAAGATTCCTATCTTGTCTGATAAGGCGCGAGGAAGACTGATCCGCCCTATCTTCTCTTCGCTCGTTGTAGGACTAAGTATGCTTACCCACCAATCTGAGCGAACAATATTGTCCATTCTGGCCACAAAGCTCAAAGCCGTCGGGATTTGCGGCCATAAAGGCATCACCACTGGTCTCCTACCTTGCTCGGTCTGTCAACTGACTGTCACTGAATGAATGAACAAAAGGTTGGACTCTTTCGAGACAGCTTGGCAGATATACCGAGTATGGAATGTAACTCCTTACGGCCGACGGAACTTCGCGGTCTTTTGAGCAAAATAAGATTGTGATCGATGCCGCTCTGGTGCCTCCGGCAGGACCAAGCACCTGACGGGTTTTAGCCTTTGTTTTCCTGGCGCCCAACAAGGTACTATCTCCGCTAGAGCAAGGAGCGAGGCGCCCAGGCAGCTCAGGCGAGTCATCCCTGACACCATTATGCCCATTCTCCTGGACGATTTGACACTGTATCACGCGATCGCCATGCGCGCTTCTCGGTGGAACTGGCGGCGAACCCTGTCCATGACTATGACCCGATCGCGTCTCACCAAGATCGAGATTCAGAACCACTGCACGGGGACCCAGCGCGACATCAATAGCTTATACAGCGCAAGTGTATTGATCACGAGATAAGCGCCAATGAACGGCGCTCGGCCTCGGACCCAAGGTTTAAGAACGACCCCCACAACTCCTGAGTTGAGCTCCCAGGACCATGCCGCTCGCCGGATATTCCGACGTCACCTTGGTGATCGCAAGTTTGTTGAATTGGGCTTCTCTCGATCTATGGACGGGAGTGATAGCCAGTAATGGAATGCCAACGGCAGCAAACCTTATCCGAGATGAGCAAAGGGTCCGTCGATGTGTTTACCGCATTCAAAGTTTTTTTCTGCCTTCTTCTTTCGTGCCTGTCGATGCCCGGTCACGTCCGGGCCTGCGGACGGGCCCTCGCTTGTCGACATGGCACGTTTATCTCACCCATGATAGTCAACCAACACGGGATGTGAGGGAAGCGAAAACAGATAGTGATGCAGTCGATCAAGGTGCCAATCATGTTTGGGATCGTTTCTTAGATCCAGCAAAGCATCACGCATCTGTGTGGTGTGTTACACTCGGCGACTCACTTCCCACCCATCAGCCTGTTTCCCGCACATTGCCCTGTCATCTCATCCTTGCTGGTATCGACCATAGAATAGATAGATGCATAGATGAAGCTTAACAAGGCTCTTGCGCTTCATGAAGCGAGTCCCGCCGGTGTCTATCCCTCAACGTCGACACCGAAGCACCGATGGATGGACGATGTGCGTTCCCCGGCAATCAATCTCCACTATTGACACCCCCACCCCACACACGCGTGCACCCTCGAACCAGCCTATCTCTTAAGTCGCCAGCTCACCGATCCTAAATCGAGCACAAATGCCCGAGCTTCGACAGAGCCACAAACAACGAAGCAAGAAAAAGAAGTGACTTATTTACGCTTGCTGTTACTGTGCTGTCTGTGGCGCTTGATGGCATGGCTTCATAACTCAGAGCCGCCTTCTAGGAGAAGTAGTACGAGGCCACTTAACGTCCGAATTTGCTATCAGATATTCATGTATCTGATTTACGGTCGCATTGCCCGGTGGTCATGTCAGTTGTCCGCCCGTGCTTCGTGACCGACGCCGTAATGCTTAGAGGCAGAGAAGGAGAGCCAGCCATAGGGGGCCCGCCGCGGTGGACGATCATGAAGAAGGCGAACAAGTCGGACATTTATGTATCATCTGTATTAACGCATCGTAAGGCAATATAGTACAGCGTGATCGGTTAGTCCGACAAGTCTGTGATGAATGGCAGGACCGTCGAGGATGTTCGCGTTCTAGATCTGTCCGAATCGGAGCATCTCAAGCAGTCCTCCTCCTCCTCGTCCCTTGCCCTATTTCCATCGTTCCTCCGCGCGGCTGGGCGGCATCCATCATTCCGCATTAGCAAGAATGCCCCACCGGTACCTTTGCAGCGTGTTCATGTAACAACTAATATTGGGGAAATGAGCTCATTAGCGCACGCACGTATAACACCGGTGGGCCCTGGAACACCTATCCATCATTAGTTTGCGATGGCCAAGTCCGAAAAGTGAGGAACGGTGCTATGAAAGGCCTGACATGGACGGATATGGAGTACACTCCTCATCGCCGAGCAAGCGACGCTCCTAAGTTGTCTGATGCCCACGGGAACAAAATGGAAGCATGCGGGGGGTGGAGGATCCATCTATTGGCCACACGGGCCGTCCGTGGGGGAGGTCATACGTCCCCCACGCGCCGCATGCGAGGTCCGTGATAATCCAGCCTGTTTGAGCCGCATCCCGCGTCGTACACTGCTTGGGTTGTGCATGACGTGGGTATGAGACTCGGAGACTCTTAGATAATGAGTAAAGGCCCCACAGAGGCGAGATAAAGGAGACAGAGTGTCGTATTGAGTGCCACCCAACAAGGGGCTCTAGGCACCACCTATCGCCTAGTGATGTAACGAGGGAAGAACTATAAACTAATGAGCGTGACGATGAGTGGCTGGCAAATTTTCAACAACAAAGAGAAAAGAAGCCTAGGGGCGATCGCCCACGGGACACCCCCGTTTTGTAACAAAGTGGGGGAATGCCCTTCCCACCTGTGTGTACACATATCGACTGAACGACGATAACAACCCCTTGTTTCTTTTCCCATTTGCAAATCCTTTTCACACCTATTCACTCCGCTTCGATTTCAGAACCATGCTGATGTGTTGATGAACGCTCAACTCCAAATCCCAGCGGCTCCCAATTACCAGAGGGAGAGGCCCCCAATATTTGGCCATTGTGCCCGCCATAAGTAACTCCGCACGTTTAGGGGCTTTCCATCCTTGGACCAATGGCTGTACGTCGGATTTGAGAGGTCCCATTTGAGAGGATGGAGGGCGAAGCGGTCATATGCGAACGAGAAATCCAAGTCGTCCTGTCTATCGTCGATGCGAAGCTGAAAGAAAGAGCGTATCGGGAGAGTCCGACGCAGCGATAATCGAGTGGCTTTGAAATCTGTGCTCTTGGGGTCGTGCAGATAGAAAGATAGTTTTGCTGGAGGTATCGGAGACCTCATCAGATCGATAACTTCGAGCGCAGCCAATGGGTCGAGCGTTCAGTCCCCGTCCAGAGCCGTTATCGCCGCCGTCGCTGTATTATAAGGTCGTAGCGTCGTCGATTATCAGTAGCTCACGCAAGTCGCTCCACCGAACCCAACAGCAGCGAGCGATGAAAGATTAGTGGTCACGTCGAGCAAGAACGAAGGCACTCCAACTCACAGCTTTGGGTAAATCTAAACTCACTAGCTTTTCCTTCTCCAACTCCGCTCAATGTGAAGGCGAGGTGATCGATGTCGAGCGAGAGACAGATGGAGTGATTCGACAAATTATATTCTTCAATTCGATTGAGTTCTTTTCCTTCTTGAGAGGAGAACCTTGAAGTC